CCTATGCTTCCAGCCCCGAATGTGCCGCCACCGGGCTGCCCCTGGTGTCGGGCTTCAAGCGGCTGCCGTGCCGGGATGTGCCAATGAAGCCCATCACATCGGTCCTGGTGAAGCAGAAGCAGAACGAAGGTGAGGCCCTCCTGCTCCCTCTGTCCCTGGGTCTTGTTGCCTGATTTGTGGCCGTGCGTCCCCCTGGGGAGGAGGCGATGACAGGCTTGGTGCCAGGGTCTGGCATGCGGCGAGGGGGCAGTGCATGCTGTGCTGGGTGCACCAAACCTGCCTGGCCTCAGCCTGGGGTTGCAGAGCTAGCTTTGGGGCTTGCTAGTGCCCCAAGGGGAGCTGGGGCAGGCTTGTGGGGAGGGTGGTGAGAGGGGACCTCATGGCTCTGAGCAGTGTCATGGGCTCTCTCTGGTGCAGAGTACGGCCTGAAGCTGGGAAGTCAGCTCTTCATCAAGCACATAGTGGAGAGTGGGCTGGCAGCGAAGGGCAGCTCCTTGCAGGAGGGAGACCTTATCTTGAAGGTACGGGGGCCCACAGGGCACACAGCACTTGCTGGGGATCTCATCTCCCCCTCTCCAGGTGGCTTGCCCCTGGCTAGTGTCACCGCAGGGGACAAGCCAAGAGCATGCTTCTCTTGGCTGCCTGCAAAGGATGGCAGCTTGGCTGGAGGCAGATCTGTCTGGTGCTTCCACACTGCCCTGGCTCCCCAGCCATCACCAGGGACCCCACGTGGGCTCCTGGGGACAAGCTGCCCGTGATGCCAAGGCTGGCTGGTTGAGGCAGCCCCATGGCATTCAACCAGGGACGGTGGCTTGTCCTGCTGCCACAGCGGGATCGCTGTCCCCACGGCGTGTGGTCCCCTGCCGTGTGTGCGTGTCCCCGCGGGGGGAGCAGTCGGCCTGAGGAGCTCAGGTGTTCAGGGTATGTCAGGTGAAACAATGCTTAAAGTATTTGAGGAGGAGGAAATGGAGGGAGATGCTTCATTTGCACACATGGGCCAGGCAGACCCATGACTGCTGGGAACTGGGCCCAAAGTGACTCTGAGACAAACAGGAGGCATTTCATCCCAGCAATCTGGTGGGAAAAGCTGCTGCACCTCAGGGAGATCACAGCCCCACAGTCCACTTGGGGCCTGACTCCCCGGCACCAGTCCAGTGCGTGGAAGGACAGCGCTGGGCCAAGGTCAAAGTAAAACTGAGCTTCAGGCAGCATCTGAGCAGGTCTCTGCAGCTCCTGCCTCCGTGCAGGGCACTCCTGTAGCTAAAAGTGGAAGTTAATTAGCCTCGCTAATTTGTTTCCTCTGTGCAGGATGAGGCCCCACTGGGAGGCAGCGAGGATAGGCAAAGCTGTGGGAGCTGGGGCCAGGCTGGAGGGGCTGGGAAGGGACCGGGAAGGTGGCAGTCGGAGCATCCCGTTGGAGCGGAGCTTTCCTGGGGGCGGCTTTCCCAGGAGTGAACGCCCTGAGGCCTCCCACTCTGCCCCCTCCAGATCAATGGGGTGGCCAGCGAGGACATGTCCCTGGCTGACACCCAGCAGCTCATCGAGCAGACAGAGGGGACCCTGACCCTGCTCATCCTCCGGGACCACCGGCAGTTCCTGGTCAACATCCCCGACATAGAAGACAGCCAGAGTGACAGCTCCCGCATGGATGGTGAGGGGACATGGTGACAGGCCGGGGGCCAAATACACAGCACAGGGACTGGACTGTCACTAATGTGTCTTCCCTCCTGTTGCTGCAGATATCTCCGACATCGACTCTGAACTGTCCCGTCCGCCATCCCCTGAGACCTCCCCACGACTTCCAGCTGCTGCCAGGATGAATTCACCACCGTAAGCCCCACTCCGTCCCCACGAGCCCCCCATTCCCCTGTCAGATCCTCCTGTGTTCCCTGCCTGTCTGGAGGGGCTGGTTCTCCTCCATCCCGGGGCCATTTCACCCTGGAGGTGGGACTACCATTTAGTCCCCAGCTTGCTCCGCTGTCTCCACTGCCCACTTGGCACTGCCTGCCCGTGCCCATCCAGTGCCTGCCTCCATGACCTGCCTAAATCCTGCCCCAACTTTGTTCCAGCGAAAGGAGACGATCAGACAGGGATCCTGTGGCGGACACGATCATGGACAATGATCGGGGCCCTGGTGAGTGAGCTCAGATCAGGCCGGGGGAGCTAAGGGCACTGAGTGGGCTCCAGGCTCCTGC